CTGAAACACTGATTGTTTGGGAAAAGTTTTACTCAGCACAAAGTTGAGACACCAAATAAATTGAACTGAATTTTTGTTGTCGCGTGAACCAAGTCATATTTCGGTGGTGAGGTAAAATATTACATAGACTGTGAAAGAAGTGCTTTTGTCAACACAGCAGAAAACCCAGTGCTCAAAGTTCCCACACAGGTGTAACATTAAAACCTGGATCTGATTGGACAAGTGAATCAACAAGAAAAGCACAAGCAGGATCTGCTGATGAAGGCAACAGAACCACCTTGCCCTCTGATTGGACTCTGCTTTGAGATTGGACTGGAAACTACAACTAAATTAACTGTTTTTAGTGAGGTTGTATTTGCCACTAAACGGTGCCAGCTAGAATTAGGCGTACGGTGAAATAGGCTCTCGTTTTCATCGGCACCAGTAAATACCACTTAAACCACAACCAAGTACTGTAACGTCTTGCACGTCTCCATTCAATGGGACAACAACATATGCAAAGCGTTAACAGCGTTCAGGGTGCAGCATCGGCATCAGCCCACAAACGTCAACATACATTTGCACTTAGCACAAGTAGGACAATGAAACTAGGCAATACCCCTAAGCTGGCTTATTTCATTATACAACTTGAGCTGCGGAAGAATTATACAGACCATTACTGCCTATTTAAAGCAACAAAAAAAACTTGTCCGACATTTCTATTAAGAATTAGTAATGATTATTTATTGAACCATATTAAAGACTGTTTTTGTTTTAAGTGAGTGAACGTAAACAAAGTAAACGGTTCATTTCCTGTCCGTGTCTCTCTTTCACGCTCTGAAATCACACTAACAGGTTAAAGAGCTCGAAGAGAAGAGTGGAAACGGCACAGACTAAAGATTATTTTCTCAAACACACTTCATAATTTTTAAGTGGTCTACTATGAAAAGTCCAATCTTGTAGGGAAGACAGATGTTCAGTAATAGCAGAGGCATGCGTGTGTGTCCATATTAAAACCGACAGGCCTGATTTTTATGACTTTCACGGCTTCACACATCTGATACAGTTTTCCAGTCTTCATGGTCACACTAAAGGCTATGAAATACTCTTTCCTATTTCTCCAGTTGTGTTGTGTTCTCTCGCTTATTGTCTGTTTCACTGAGAGGAGCATGAGAAATATCCTGTAATAAAAGAAGATCAGGAAGGCCAGACGTGCGGTGGTAGTGAGAGTGAGATCTTTTACAAGACGTCATGAATCTGCTGCCTCAAAACTGTGACATCTCAAGTATAAGCAGTGGTGAAAATACATTTACTTAAGTACAAATTAGAGTCACTGGGTAAAATCTTGACTAGAGCAGTAAAACATTTCCCACAAATCAATGCATCAAATGTCTGGAAGTCAGTCTGGTATTGCTACTTTTATTTTAGTAAAAGATCTGAATACTGGATCCTTACTGGGGATTTTTCAGTCCTGCTAGAGGCGTTGCTCACGTTGGTCCTGAAATATCTGAACAACTGCTAAATGGATTGCCAATGACATTAAATACATTCATTTCCCCCAGATGATGAATCCCAGTGACTAGCACCAGCACTCTGGTTTATGATCAAACACCTGCCAAACTAATAACATAATAATCCCCATCAGCCTCTGACGTACTAGTTGTTTAGTGCTAATCATAAACATACCTACAACTTCTATTAGTGTTATTGATATATTCACATTGTAATTGTGAGGATGACGATGTGAATTGTTTGCACATTGCGCCTGGATTGCGTTACAGCTGTCACACACATTCGTGGGAGTTTGAGCCCAGTTCATGACAACAGGGTGATATGTATTGTTTCCAGCCCGTTCATCTCAGTGCGGACTGGGAGGTGATGCAGTGTTCACATTGTTCTCCACTACAGTGTCTTTTGTTATACCACCACTAGGAGACACCAAAGTCAGAAAGCTGCCGACCCTACACATACAGCAGGAGCTCTAAAAAAAAAAGTAGTTGTTTTATGGAAATTTTGGAAGTTTAAGCCTGTTTATTCTTTGAAATCAGTTTATATTTTATTTGTTTTTTGTCTGATTAATGTGATTTGTAATATTAAAATGGCAAATTATTTTTATTGGTTTGCTTAGCCACTCTTTACTTGGGATTGATTATATTTCCCCTCACACCCTGTCCACTAATCTGCACTATTTACAACCTAACGGGCACACCCTTCCTCTCTATTCCAGATAATTGATTTATAACCTGACTTGAGGAGTCATGCCCACCCATGTCTGCATGTATGCATGAGTTATGAAAGCCGTCGGATGCTTCTACACTTATTTTCCAGCCCTTAATAGGTTTATGAGTGTAATTTTACAGCTTCATGACTGAGGGCCTCTGATTCATGCTGACACAGCAGGTCTTCACTGGCAAATTACTCTGGCTTCCCTCTCCTCCTGCTCGACAGGAAAAAAAACCAAAACACTGGCAACACTTCACTTTGATTGCAGTGTACGTCAACATAAGTGCTTTATACATGTGCTTACCGCCTGCATGATGCTTTCATTATGATCGCGACAGGAAACGATCCTCAGTTTAATGCATAAGGCTTCAACACCATGAATGGAGTGTGTCCTCTGAGACCGTGTCTGCTCCTTCTTCTTGTGTTTGTTGTGTTTTAACTGAAACATTTCTGGTGCATTTACGGTGTGATCACTATAATAACGGTCACATCTTAAGCACCGGGACTCCTTGAGAACACTTGACAAATACCGCAGGTTTCACACAAACATCTGGATGTGTTGCCATGACTACAGAGATGCAGTATTGAGAGAGATATTTGAATACCAAAATGAGAACTATAATTATCCGAGGAGGAATCTCAACACACTCCACCAGACCATGTCAAAACACTGACTATTCAGACGCAGGGAGCAGTAGCTGCTCCCCTTAAAAACCCAGTGCATTCTTACCCTTCTCTCATGCAGATATGAGGCTGGATCTTACTTTATTTATCAACTTCTTTCTTTATTATATTTTTTCATGCCCACTACAACACACACTGGGATTAAGACGGTGTAAAATAGATGGATCTTTTTGTTTGTTTTAAAAATGCATTTGTTCATCATATAAAAAATGTCAAAAACACTTTATAGCTAAGACTGAAGATGTGTAGGCTGAAGCCATCACTTGTAAAGCCGACCTCTCTGACAACACAAAGTTTACAAAATGTATGAACAAGCTGTTTTTGTTTTGCATTTCGCAGTCAGTTTTGAGAAGAAGCTGAAATATGCTTTTCTGCCAAACATCCCCTGCATGTTTTCATCAGTTGCCTCAGTGTCTGTGGCCTCGGTCGAGATTTTCCTGTGACACTGAGCGTCTTTGTTGCAGAGAGAAGGGTGACAGCCAGACGGACGGGCACACTGGCTGTCTGTTGGGGCTTGTTTGTGTCTGTTGCCATAGCAACTGTCAGGCTGCGATGGCAGAGGCTTGGTGGAAGTGGCGGCTGCTACGTGATTCATGGACTCTGAGGGCGGCCGAGCAGAGCAAAGTTTTGGCAGCCGAGCTGAAAAAGAACCAGAGAGGAAGCATCTGGTGGATCTGCATAGACTCAGGCTGGCCTCAGCTGCTCCAGCTGCTACCCACAATGCACCAGCATGAGCCGGGTTCAGGTTTTAAATCCTCTAAACCTGTGCATTGTTAGAATATATTCACCCGCCAAATGAAACATGACTTAAACTGAGAATGAAAGTGGATTCTTGAGTTTGGGAACAGTCTTACCACAAGGTCCATTTAGTAGTTGTTCAGGAGCTTTCAACTGTACGACACAATCTTCCTCAGCAGACGGCGTTTGTCCAGTTGTCACAATACCATGTATGTTATAACTGTGATTTAACAGTGCATCTTGGGAAATTATACTTGCACTCTTCATCTGTTGTTGTATTTAAATGCACAGATGTGATTTATTTGTTACTTTAATTTGTACTGATGGATTCTGTTGTTCAGTTTCATGATTGTAAAATCTTAGGACCATGCTGCAAATTAAGTATTCTCACTTTAACTCACTTTATCCCTCGGATTGGTTTGTTTTAGGAGATCTGTAAATCATATTAAAAGCAGCGAGTACATTTCTATGTTGGTTTTAAAGTGGAGAGAACAGCTACTAAATTGATCATGAGGTGATTGCTATGTCGTCTTCTGTTTCCAAAGGCTTAGACTTCAATCCCAGTTTTTAAGACCAAATCCTTAAAGTGCTCAGAAAAATGGAGACTTGACTGTCTATACCTGAACCTGAGAACTGAACAAACTTCATCTGCAGGTGAAGACTGTGAGATGTGTTCAAAAGCTCTGAGAACAGTTACTAAATGGACCTTCAAATCAGATTATTTTGTCAACTCCTGTTCTCACTATCAAGAATGGACTTCGACCCTTAATATTAGCCAGTTTTTATGAGTTTTATGAGCCACGTTTTGTTTGTAAATAATCATTAGTAAATATCTGCAGCGCTTAAAATGCATGACAGCAGGGAATCCATCTGCTGAGGAAGACCATGAGACATGACTGAAAGCTCCAGAACCTAGACCTTATGTTGAGATTATTTTACCAATAACTACGACTGTGTGCTGCTTATGGTCAGATGAAAATCTTGTGACTTTTATGAGTTAGAAAAGTTTCATGTCTGTTGAGGTCTTTTTGAAACATATAAAAATACATGATGGTGACCATATAAACAGAGTTTTCTCTATATCTTGAGAAGTTAGTTATAATAAAATAATCGTTATTATTAAGGGCATTTTAACTTATTTGATTAAAGCATAAAAGGGATGTTACTAAATAATACAGGGCTCAAGGATTTCATTGAGCCATTGAGTAATTCTAGTAAACAAAATGCTGAACATTCTCATGTGTTATGGGTTTAAATGGATCAGGGAGCGTAGATTCAATTACATAGAGTGACAAAACACACTGGCAAATGAAGGAGGAGCTCTACTTTATCTTTGTTTTTTCATTGGGAGATAAAAAATTTAAATAAAAATGACACAAATTTTAAAAAGTGTTTAATCAGAATGATAAAGAGGACCAGAGGACAACCACTTCATGACTACATCATGGGAATACACAATCATCTTCAGAAAACGGAACAAAAAAAAAAAACAAACATGAAAAAATAAAAATCCATGCACTCAAAATGATTTCTCTAAATCAGAGCACAGTTTGTTTGCTGGTTTTCATTGGGACTCGTGAGCATGCTGGCTTCTTCGATCTAGTTTCCAAGCAACATTTTTTTTACTGCGAGGCCTGAACCTGACGACGAGAAGCAGAAAAAACACACATCAGACAGTGCAAAGTACAAGGACGGATTTGCTTGTGGCTAATGTCGGTGTTTGTCTTAACAAATACCATGAAAATGTACGACAGGAACAAATGCATGCAAATGTGAGAGTTGATGAATGGGTGGATGAAGGATGCATGTGTGCACGATACCTGTCTATTTATATGAGTGGCTCTCGGCTCCACCGCGCCCAAATCCTGAGAGGAAAGATGAAGAGGAATTAACATTCACATCAGGAATAATGAAAGTAACTGGGGAAAAAAAAAAAAAAAAAAAGTGTGGCCAAACATTGGAGGAAAAAGAGAAATCTGACACCAAATCCGAACTGTTTTCCTCTGGAGTTTAAAGAGATGCCACTAATTATGTAACGAGCGGTTGATATCAGGTGACAGTGTGTGCTTTGATGGGACCATTTACAGCCTCAGCACTAACGCATAAACAACACAATGGGCGTTTCTGGATGAGAAAAAGTCTCTTGACCAAAGGTGACTGAGCCTTCACAGCTACCAGGATCACTGTGTTTTATTCCTGTTTTTTATTAATAGTATTCCAAAGTGTAGATGTTGTGATTACGGTGTCAGGAGGTCAGAGTGAGTTCATTCACTGTGTTAAAAAAAAAAAAAAAAAAAAAAGATAATGTGCGGAGAATGTGCTTACCTTTAGGTCCAAACAATGCACTGTAGCAGGGGTTGTTACAGTATGGCTTGCCATCATGCTGTAAGAGGGGGAAGAGTAGAATTTACACTTGTTTTAAATATTAAAGTGATACATACATAAGTGTTAATGTTTCAATTCCAAGGTCAAGAAAACATTTCAAAATTAAAATATCATTGCAGGAGGGTCACTTGTAGTGTGATATGATCAAAAGCTTATGAACAGCTACCAAACAGGCCTGGTGGTGTGATTGCATTGTCAGCAACAACTATATAATCTATGTGAATTTCAGTCTGCGATTTTCAGTTATTAAATATTAAGTTATTTATCACTTTTGTCGTTTAAACTTGTTGAAAGATGAACCTAAATACTGCAGATCAGGCTGCAGATTCAACACTGAACTCAAAGTTACAGGATATACATTATTAGTGTGTCATGTTATTCAGATCTCTCACCTCTGCATGTGAGCCTGCTGAGAGTGTCTTGTTGCACTTCTCACACTTCAGACAGGGCCTGTGCCAGTCCTTACCCAGTGACGTCACCCTCTCAGCTGCCAAACACATCAAAAGGCAAAAATTAATAATCACATCCTCGAACTTCCATCCCAAAGAGAGCTACTGTCATCTGTGGAGGAGAGGCAGGCGTCACAGGGTTAACACATGGTCTGCTGGTCAGTTAATGAGTCTCAGACTAAATTAATGAGCTCATAGTGCTGTGAATTTAGCAGTTTTAGACCAACGAGATGTACTCTCCGCAGATAAGTTTGAGAACATTGTCTGGGTGTGGTGCCTGATGGTGAAAAAGAGGACTGAGTGTCCCTGATGAATCCATCCTCATCTCGCCTCATAAACTCCAATAAAGACCGTCTTTATCTGCAGGGCTGATCTGTGCAAACACCCCTCAGGAGGATTGTAAAAGAAGGGAAGAACCCGAATCTTTATTGAAGGAGATGGACAAGGATTCAGATGCCTTTTGAGACTGGTCACACGGTTACAAGAGAGACAAAGAATCTCGATGCAAAGACAGATACGAAGCCGCTTAGCTAAGGGAGGATGACAGCCGAGACCAAGCACAGGAAATGTTGAAAATGTAGAAGTGTTATCGTGATCTGAGGCCATCTCTTCAAACATATGTCGTAACTGTGCAGCACAAGGCATGATCAACAGCTGCATCTGGAAACATGACAAAAAGTCAGGAAGGTACAGCCAGTGTAAATAACTCTGGGTTCAGGTGAGGCCACGAGCCTCAAAACCTTCCCACAATATTAGGATATGACATATTTCCTCTCTAAAAATAGCCCGATGTGGCATGAGATTATGCAACAGTCAGTGGAAACAGAGAAAGTGCTCCAGGGTGGGGTCAGCCGCTCAGGCCAGCTCCATGAAAACATTTCAGCAAAATGTGGCGGGACTTGGAACGCGGGTCTGACCCAAAGTAATTACTGTACTTAACTTCAAATACCAAAGCAGTGGACTGAGCAAACAGTGGATTCTTGCCTGTCTGAGCAGCAATGGAGAGGGGGTCTCGCAGTTAAAAAAGCAGAGCTCTGAGTCCATCCCTATCAGTCGGGGTGACGCCCGTGAATGCTGCTTTTCTCTCGATTTTATATGGAGCTGATAAAGCTCCCTTTTGTACACGGGTTATTTATTTTACCTGATGATATGAACGAGAAATGGGGTGTGACAGACAGAAGAATAATCCAATCTGCCCTCTCCATCAGCTCACACCGACTGGGAGCATTATGGAGGCAGTCCAGTACAAACAATCACATAAATCTGAATGGAAAAACACACTGTGAGGGGAGGCTGTTCAACTATTCGCTTCATTCCATCCCAAAAAAGATTCACGGGGAGGTTGTTTAATGCTTTGTCAAGCATTTAGAGTTATGTGAACGACCTTAAATGAAGTCAAACTCTTTAACTAACTATGAAACTTTTTACGGCTGATGAACTAAAGAATCACTTCAAATGATTTTGGCTCATTTCTCAGTGCACAAAATTGGTGCCACTCTCATGACCGTAGGCTGAAGCCTCAGCAAGCGGACAGTTAACTTAGAGGAGGCAGTAGGCAGATTTTGTTACCAATGGACAGAGCAAGGCTAGTTTTTATTCCCCGTTTCCAGGCTTTTACCTATGCTAAGCCAACGTGCTGCTAATTGTGGCCTTAAATTTAACAGGCAAATAAGGGTGAGGCGTCAATCTTCTCATCTAACTTTGTGCAAGGGAGCAAAAAATGTCAAACTATTCTTTTAAGGTTGATGAACTTGAGGTTTTTTAGATGTTAAAGATATTTATCATGATGTCGTGTCAATAATTCTAAAAATTTCATTGATGCATTTGTGCACAATCTCTGCATAAATACAGCATGACGTTACCTACACTACATGTTAGCCTCCAACACTTTTTTGTTAAGTCAGTGATCCTGCATTGGAAAGCATGATCATCTGCAAAGTTTCCAGGAAGAACAAATTATTCTTTTTTTCTTTTTTTTTTTTTTTGGAGTTGGGACAGATCCCCCCCCCCCCCCCCCCCCCCTCCATCATTTAGTGAAGCAGCAGTAGCCTGATTGTTTCCATCTGAGAGCTTCATAACGGTAAGACAGATGAGCAGCAAAAGAGACGGACGGAGAGAGAGGGGAGGGTGAGGGGGGTGGAGTGGAGCAGGGAGGTGTGATGGGAGACAATCACAGACTGAGACATTAAGCAAGTTTTAGAAACAGAGGAGGTTTCGGTGGGAATTTGATGCAGACAGTTCAGGGCAATGACAAGACATCCACAAAAAGAACAAAAAGCTTTGTTTCAGGCTACTTATCCCTCAGCTCTATTTCAGCATTTTCTTATTCTCCTGCTCGGGGGAAAAAAAAAAAACGATAGGTTGGCGCGTTCTGGCCAAAACAAATTGGTTTGCTTGTTTTGGCCAGAAGGAGAAGGTTTGTCCATAAAAAGGGAGAATGGAAAGGATGTCTCCCCAGTCTCTGGATCAATTCATCTGACTGACACTCCAAAGACTCTGCATTGGCCTCAGCCTCTGCGCATCTCTCCGGAGAAGATTTACTCTGTCGCACTACTGAGCCGGAGACAATGTGGTAAATGGATTAAGACGCAAATAAAATGGAGCTGTCCCTTTCCTCCCCCAGATGGAGTAATAGGTCCCTGCTTTGATAGTGTCCTCACGAGACCGACCTACTGTATCGCAAAGATGTCAGCAGAGAAGAAACCTGCTTCCTGTGCTCCATCCAGTCATTATTCATCTAGCTCATGAATCACAAAGAAAGACAACTCAATTCCTGCAGGGAGCGCAGACTTTAAACTCCTAAGTAACGTGATAACAAGACAGCTTGCAGAGTGCAGTGACCCTCTGAGACTACGAGGCATCAATCTGCAAAATGCAAACATACAGGCAGATATAAAGAGTAAATGTGCACAGCTCGGATGCTGCATTGACAGCTAAAGAAAATGAGCAAGTTAGCAAATAAGGTTGTGATTAAAACTCCATTGATGAGAAGTAGCTGAGTACATGTACTCAAGTACAGTACTTTGCTTTAGTATTTCACAGCTAAATGTTACTTCTCAGATTAAGATTTTACATGCATGCATGTTTAAACTATGTAATACATTATAGATGATACTAGTGGCCAAAAGTAATTAGAGCAGTTAAATGAAGCTCCACCTTTAACGTACTGCAACATAAAAGTAAAAGCTTACATGCTGATGCATCTGTAATATTCAGGACTGGAAGAAGCATTCAGATCATTTACTTAAGTAAAGGTAGCAGTACCACGATGTAAAAATACTCCATTGCAAGTCAAAGTAATGCATTCAAATTTTTACTTAAGAAAAAGTATAAAATGTACTTTAATTATCAAAAGTTCAAGTATATTGTGCAGCACAGCCCCTGCCAGCGATGGAATGTAACTAAGTACATTTACTCATGTACTAATTTAGAGGTAATTGTATTTTAGTATTTCCATCTTCTGCTTCTTTCTACTCCTATATCTGACATTTCAGTAGTAACTATTGTACTTTTTTACTGCACTGCCTTCACTTTTATGCAGTTATAGATGAATCTACCCTAAGTACATACAGTAAAGTAGTTCAAATTATTTCCACCTTAACCAACTACAGTATTAAAGTACTGCTTGTAGATTAACCACCAATAATAATGACAAATATGTAATAATATAACACTGACAGGAGCCATTCTGCACAGTCAGTACTTTTAGTTCAGATGCTATCTGTACATTTTGCTGATAATACTTATGCATTTGTACATAAGTTAAATTGTGCATGCAGGATTTCAATTTGTAAAGGAGTGGATGAAAAAAAAATGTACATTTGTTTTTATAATATATACGTTGAAAGTCCATGCTTGAAAACATGCTTGAAGTCTCGTCACTCTCAGTTTCCTGTTTCCTCATTTGTGCAGAAAAGCCGCTAGTTTTCAATAACCAGGAAATGTTCTTATGCAAAAGAGGATATTATCTCTGCAAGTAAAATGAGAATCACTTAGAGGAGAATCAATATAAAGATGTCAATCTTACCGAAGTAAACTTCCTTCTGGCACTTTGGGCACTTTGGCATTTTGTTGGAGCTAGTGCTGATCTGCCGTAGAGAAAGAAGAATAGGTATCCTGCGGTTCTACCTGTCAGCTCTGACTGACCACGCCTCGCTGTGAAGTGCAGATGTGCGCTCCGTCCTGTATTTATAGCGCCGAGGAAATAGTTCAACTGAAACTTTTCTGTTTTTTTCTAACAGGGGGAGAGGCTTGTGATGAGTCTGTGAGAGTGTGCGTGCAGAAAACATCACAAAGAATTAGGCTACTGCGAATAAAGCCCTCCTTTACTGTTGAATTTACAGTACTCCAAATGGATAAATGCGTTTTTAATTGGCCCTACAATACAGTTTTCTCAGATATGATTTATTTATACATTTGATTTTTTTTACAGCCTTTGGATGGACGGATTAGATGTGAAGGGTCACAAGATGATTAACAGTTTAGAAAGGATGAAAAAGACATTTCTTTTATCTTTACATTTTCATATGAAATACTGGATAGGCCTCCCTATTCAGGCTTATAAAACACACCACACAAGCAAAAACCAACATAAGCAATAGCCTGTATAGGTTAAACTCACTCGTGGCTTATAGTGCACAAAGCATATAAAACAGGTCACCAGTTAAAAAGTTTGCATACAAGATGAATGAGCACTGAAACCCCACCGTTTCCAAGGATCTTAAAGTGATTTAAATGTAAACCTCGGCTACTGTACAATAAAATAGGAAATCCAATCTTTTTTTGGCATTTACAAGTTATGTTTCATCACTGTGACCACAGTTCAGAGTCTGCATGCCAACACCTGGACCTGATAAGTGTCTGTGGGATTTTAGGCTATAGTTTGCTAACTTATTCTGCATGTCTCAGTGGACCAAACAATGAATTATTAATGTACTGTATAAAAACATTTCTTTTGTTCTTCTATTCAGGCCCTGTTTCCTTTTGCCAAAGTTATTTCACACCTTCTCAGAGTTCAACAGAGAGAGCTGCTGCAGAACTGTGTGAGCAGTCATGATAAGATTTAGCATAACCACTACCATACATAATCATGGGGTCACATGAGGTGATCGTTTGAAGCTCTGAACCTTTTGTAATGTAAATGATAGAGGGATGTTTGTTGTACGTCACACTGATATCCTTTGTAAGACAGGTGGTTCCTCTCAAGGGGCCAGTGCTTCAGTTTTAAAATCAAATGTGCCTAAAAATCAAAATATACAAAGTAGGAATATATGTTCACGCTTCATTTTATGGCACCTTTAAATTATGGTAATTACAGTGCTCCCATCCAAATCAAGCAATGCTGATTACAGAACTTTGGAAATTAATAGCCATAATAAAATTAAACCATAGATTAAACAACATGAACCTATTGTGTAGCCATTCTCCTATAAAACTGTTCCAACTTAGTCAAGTTATCCTAGTCTTAGCCTAGTCAAAGTCAAGTCCCTGCTACTCTGTCATTATCAACGTGATATGTGACTCCACCGGTCTATTCAGTGCTGAATGGCAAGATAACCCACCCTGATGAATAATCCAAGTCAGGTGACTTTGGACAAACACACACACCTTTGTGGAGTCAGCAGTACAATACCTAAATATGTATATTTATAATAACACAGCATTTTAAACATTTAAAGGTAATGGAACAGTTCAGATTGCTAGCTTAAACGTATAGATAGCTAAGGATAATGTATGTAGTGAAAAAGCTAACAATAGTGGATAAATGGTTTGAATGATAGCTAAGTAATGAATTAAAGCTTAAATACTTAGCTGAAAGTAACAAATAAACAATATAGATAGCTAGATAATCAGCAGTTAATAGATAGCTAAAGGAGAAGCTAAACGTGGTCAAAATAGCTAAGTGCTACAGTAGAAATAAGCACTGTTTAAATGGTGAAATGGAATAATGGAAAAACAGTTAAAAGTAAAGCTAAAGTAATAAATGGTTGAAATACATAGGGGTAACTGATAAATAATTGACTTAGTTAGCTAAAGGTGTCATTAATAGTTGATAAAAGTAATGGATAAATGGTTAAAATGGCTAAAAGTAATGGATAAATTGTTGACATAGATAAAAGTAATTAACAGTTGATATAGTTTGCCAATTCTGCCACTGCATCCCAATCCAAACTGCCAATGCAAACTTAACCAAACCAACGTAAATATTGATAGTTGAACTGTATAAAAAATTGTGTAAAAATATCCACTTTTATATTGTTAATAGTTTTTAATTATCTTTAATCAGTTCAAATGAACACATTTTGAATATGGCAGGTGGTGTTGGACTAGCAGACTAGTAGCTGCACAGCTGAGGTAACACAGTGTTGTAGGTTATTTGCTCGTGATTGCACCATAATGTCTCTTTGGTGTGACTCTGTTTTGACATTGAGCTCAGAGTCCTGAGTGTATTCATTACAACACAAGCAGATCACACCCAACTCCAGGGCAATTTGTGACCTGATCTGTTGGGTTGAAATATTGTTGTCATTTGTGTGTGTGTGTGTGTGTGTGTGTGTGTGTGTGTGTGTGTGTGTGTGTGTGTGTGTGTGTGTGTGTGTGTGTGTGTGTGTGTGTGTGTGTGTGTGTGTGTGTGTGCACAGTGTACAGTATTTGTGTGTTTATATGGGGGTTGTTATGTTGTTATGCTTACTTTTATGTGGTATCTTCACATGCTACCCATACAGACACACCTTTAGAGCAAAGTGTGTTTATGTCTAACTTCTGCCATAGTTGTGTGATCAAACCCCCTGAGGATCCTTGTCATCAAAGCGCCATGGCAACCAAACAAAAAACTAATGTTGTCAGGGTGACTGTAACACAGACCATTGGTACTTTTTTTTTCCTCGGTTGGGACATTTTCCAGGTGCTCACTGCTCGAGCCAATCAAGATGACACTTTGATAGAGGTAAATTTCCGTTTCTCTAGTCTCTATCAACCTTTGACTGAGGTTGGATTAAAGATGAACCACAATAAACACATATAATTTACGCCATATTCTGGCGTAACACCTGGCATCAGGCAGGAAACCTAGAGAGATAACATAGTTATTTTCCTGGGATCAGCAAATGTGGAAGAAGAAATGTTAGTTAACAGCAATAGCTTACATACTCAAACAGAGAAAGAACTGCTCTAACTTGTTTTTAAAAGCCTTATTAGCCACACTGGCAGCGTGAGTGAAATATTAGGCTGGCACCTTGCAGGAAAGTTCAAAGTTCAATGACCAAAATTTGGCATTAATGATATATCATCAAATTCTTTTCAGCGCTGCTTTACAGTGACAAATTTACCTGCAGGGTTTGTTGATTGGGGGTAACCTCCTAAGTCCTCAGGTTGAGAAGTTTGCCTTGTAATTTTCTTCTTGGGATGGTTTCCATTAAATCAGGGATGCCAGGCAGAAGCTCTGCCCCTCTGAAGATTAATCAGAGCTAATCTCCCCCAGCCACCCAGGTAGCTGAAGGTCATACCTCAGCAGCCTGCACTCTGCCTCGGGGTCTACTGGGCTCTCATCCAGCCTCTGAGGTCGATGTGCCTCTTATGTGTCTCTCTCACTGCCTTGTAATTACATCTCTCAGTGATCAGCCCTCCTCCTTCAAATTAGACAAGACTAACATGGGGCTTTCATGTTCTACATCACTAATCAAGTACAGAATAGGCATAGATTTCAGGGGGGAATCCAGGGATAGATCTCCCCCAAATAAAAACCGCTGTAACGTTACTCATAGATGCAACAAAGCCTCTGACAGGGACGGGTCTTCTTCTTCAGCACTAGGTCTTCTTTGCTCCCAAAATATGAATATGAATCATGAGATTTTATAGCCACATAATATTTTGTGGCAAATGTAAATACCCCCCCACACACACACACACACACACACACACACAATGTTGTGATCTTGATCAGCAGTGACTGTGGCACCCTCTCTTCTGGCGCCATGAAAGGACATTTTTTCTGAAAAAGTCTCAAAACCAAGTAAGTTGTGAACCACTAGGTAATGTTTTAAAGTTTCCTTTTAGGGGTGTTGTTTGCTAAATTGCTAACTAATCTTAAGGTAACGTTGCCTGCCCATAAATGTTCGCTTGCTAGCTAAGATAGCAGCAGACAAGCTAATCCAGCATTAGCTGCAGAGCATCTGCCCAAAGACAATAAAAGGAACAGCAGCATGTGATTTGTTGACAGCGTGGTACATTTGAATTTGGGAGCCTTACTGCATTATATTCCATTACGTTTTGAATTGTCACCTCCTGTGTTTTCCTTTAAATACCTAAATACATTCTTAGCATAAGTTTATGCAGAGAAGGTGCAAATTGGCAATTCACCAAATTTTTATCTCAAAAGTGCTTGCATGCTAGGCTGGCTCTAGTTTTTCATGAACTTTGCATTGAATTTCAGCTTCAAAACCATGAGAATACAACCTTGGAAAACTACCTACAGTACTGCACAGTCAGATCTTGTAAAGCAGTCAGTTCAAAACCTTATTAATTTTACGAGTGAAAACATGGGTTAGATTTGGTTTCCAATATTTGGACTTAATGATTATGTCATGTTTTCCTCTGAGGGAATAGTCACAGTACTATTTCACGTTCCATTCACATCATTAAAACACATGGAGACTGTGCGGTGACCTCTGACCAGTGAATTCATATGATCCAAACAGGCCTGACAAAAAGCGGTGCTCAGTGTGACCCCTTGGCTCAAATTGACCGAACACAGAGCAGCTACTGTGAGCTACTGTCAAATAAAGAATATTTTTACCTTTGAGAGCCCATAAGTTTTGTAGCATGAAATCACAGCCAGCTACATCCATAATTGCTTGTTGTGAGGTTTGCTCTCTGTAAAAGTGGTTCATCATCCAAGAATCAAGAAAATTGAATTTGATGGTTAAAATGTATGTGTATTAATCAGGAAATTAAAAGGAAAATTGGATTGGCTTCTCAATTTACTGGAAGATTAATGGAAGAAAGTTCAAAATTACTTGCAGAGCTATTAAATGAAACCAAATTTCCTGTCATGGATCTGAAAATAACCCCTGGCTCTGCTTGTTTTAATTGTACCAAATATTTTCTGGGTTTTGTTGAATTTATAGGAGCAGCATTGTAATTATACACAGTGATGGATCAGGGGCCACGCAGAGC